ATATATATATAAATGACTTTATAGTCCTGATGATCCAAGAAATATGCAGAGGCAAGGATTCTTATGGGTGACATCTTTTACTGGAGCAACTGTAATATTAGGATTAAAAATTAGGATTGAAGAGAAAGCCTTCCACATATTTCAACAAATATTTTTCATGTTGCAAACTCTATGCCTTCATCTAAAAATCATAGCACCACTTATTCAGACGATGTGCCTTTACCAGTAAATTGTAGAATAGGGAGCTGACTGCTACTGAGCAAATAATGAACTGAAGTATTCATATTACCTGCTAATTTTTCATCTGAGGCATTTCCTTTGTTTCTGGTCTGCAGAAACAATCTTCATTACAGCCACGTGAGTATTTAGCTATTCATCTGGACAAGAAAACAATCAAACAAACAAACATCACAAAGCAAAAAATCCCCCCAAAACTAGCATCTCTATTTCATGTTCTAGAATACCACTGAACAGATTGATTCAATTATTTTTTATGAACTATATATATTGCTCATGGACAGTTCTGACCAAGTGTTTAGTATTTTCTATAAACTATGTGTTATTGTGACTGATCACAGTGCTCACTTGGTAGTGTTTGCTATCTGACTGGTGAATACAAAAGGACCTCTAGAGTAAACACCTGCATGTGTGAATTTAAAAGAGAGTTTTCATGAAGACTCATACATATAACTTTCTGCAAATGCTCACATCAGTAACGCGCCATTATGTTCTGTGAACTTTGGTACAAGCATAGAAAGGATGCGCAAATGACCAAAGTGAGGTCATTTACAAATTCAAATGATACTTGAAGAAAAACATTTGCAGCAATACTCTGCCTCCACAAATACACACAGAAGTAATGGCTCATAACTCCTTTTCAAATCCCAGACACCATATTTTATGATACCACATGCCATGCCAACCTATTATCTGCCCCTCTGGAGAGAAACTGGGCTTTCCCTTGCTTTGATATGTTCTAAAAAGGGGAGAGGCTATGAGCCAGATCCACAGCTGCAACCCAATAGCAGCTCAGCTGCAAAGATTTTTTTGTTTGAAAACAGAATAGATTTGCTGCAGAAGTTGGAGGGGGATAATAAACAGGAAACCTAATTATTCTGTTTTTACCAAATTACTGTGAAAATCAGAAGGTAATTGATAGCACAATCCAAAGAGCACTTAAGTCTATTGACTTCTGTAGCTCTTGCTCATCCTTTTAAGACACAGTCCAAAATATAAAAACAATGTTTGGGATCTGGTATGCTGCATTGCTATAGTTATCTCCATCACATTGATACAGGAACAATACTGGTTCATGAGGCTGTAGTGCTGAGGAGGTAAGAGTGGAGCTTTCTTTATTCTACCACCATAATCATGTCAAAGCAGCCCTGCCATCCATTCCACTTCATTAAAGATGTTCTTGTTCACCTGTGACTTATTTTCAGTGATTGCCATACACTTCTACCTCCGTCATACTATAAATGTATTTCTCTCTCTTCTTGCTGAGTACATACCTGGTCAAAAGCACTCCATTTTTTTCTCCACTGAGGCAATGAGCCAATCATAAATGTTTATAGGTAATCATAACAAGCTTGAAAGTAATATCTGTTTCATAAGCCTCTCTTGACTATTTGTCCAAACAAGCTGAAGGTTCAGCCTGTTAAATGGAGCCAAGAGATGCTTGTTCAGCTCTGAACTTTATACTTGCATGACTGTAGAAAGCATCTATAAATAGCCTATGAGAAACATAACAGTTTCAGCATAATGGGATTCATGTTTAATATTGGCAATGACTTCCTTTCCCTTAGGATCTCAATTAAAATGTTTAGATAAAATTAAACTGCTACTTAGGAAGAGACTGTGCTGATGAGCAAAATATTTAAACAAACTCCTAAAGCCTGACAGAAAATGGTTCTCTGCAATCAAGCTTTAGAAAGAGAGATGACACAACTGTTTATTACTATAGCATATGCTTATAAAATATGGGCACTTAAGCAACAATATTATGGAAGCTTATAGAAAAGCATGATTTCTGAAAAAGACTGACATTTGTCTTTTCTGAAAAACAAATTAGTATCTGTTTGAGCAAGTTTGGAATATGTTTTCACGAATAGCTACCATCATGATCTCAGCTGATGGGCTTTGGTAAGACAGATTTTCAAGACAGAACAGTTTGGTAAAAAATCTGTTTGCCTATTGTAATGGAAATGGGCTCTAACAACAGTATCTTCCACACACTATTCTTAAGTCTGACTGAGCTTGTGCATAATCCACAATAGGACAAAAATATAATTGTATGATGCGTTTATATTGGAGCCATGGCAAAGCTAGTTCACTGAAAGCACATGTTAGAACAGCCTCTGGGTTTCACTACTTTATGTCTAACTGCTGTAACCTCTGAGGAACTGTTCTGGCAATTGGAAATCTTCTGAATGTGCGTGTGCTTTAGCAAGGCCACTTTTCCATTGGCCACACACTTTGCTTGAGGGTGGTCTGGGAGAAGTTGTCAAAAGACTAACTTATTTTGCAGCTGCTTTTGTGCCAGGAGACTAATCCAAAGCAACTCTATCAGGGGCCAGCATTTGACAGCTGGTTTAGATTTTATCAAAAACACATGCTAAATTTGAGGTGTGCTAAAAACAATCTAGAAAAAAACAACATAAACTGTCCAAAAGTTTATTTAGAAATGAAGTAGAGAAGTCAATGTATGAAAGGAGGAACAAGGAGAAATAAAAGCAAGGTTGAATTTTATTTTGCTCACTGATTAGAGAAATGTGACTGAATACAGACTATTTATTATGTGTAATATGCCTAGTTTCTCACCACCTCATACCCTGTGAAGTAATTTACCTATTTGCAAAGTGAATTCAGAAGATTTGCAAAATGCTGCCACTCTGATTTGATAGCATTGTACACGCACTTGGACTTATTTGGCAAAGGTATAAAAGATTCCATAAGGAACAAGACCAAAGCGAATCAAGCTCAATATCTGTTAAGAATTTAGGTCTTTTATGGTTACCTATTCACTAGCAAACCAGGCCTAAGTATGCATCAGTTTCAAAAAATAATTTCTGGTTTGTTTTGTTTCATAAACTATTCACTGCCACTATGGGCTGAGGACAGAGAGGAATCCTAGTAAGAGGCCAACATGACTGCATCTGAACTCTTTAATAATATGAAATAATAAAACATATGAAAAAATGGACATAATTGCTAAGGATAAGTATAGAGAACAGCATAAGTAGGCACATAGTCAGAAATGATTTGGTACAAAATGAGTAAAAATTAAGAGGAGACACAAAAAGTCATGAGAAACAGTTCTGTTTAATACATTAGTAAAAAAAGAGAAACAGAGGAAAAATAAAGATGTTATTTTTCACAGGTGATAGCCCCAAAAGGATCCTGTAGAAGAACCTGGAATAGTGGCCGTGAACATGGGTCTAAGGGTATAGACAGAATGGACATTTTTTGCCCAATCTGGTCACAGAAAGCAGTTTATAGCCATGAAAGGCACACGGCTTTAAACAGCTTAAAAATGTCTGATAAAAACACCATTTTTAACTATTTGACTAACTCAAGTTTTGAGTTTTCTTTATCTTTATCTCATGACCACCTCAGCCACAGGGGCATAATTTGGAGACCAGATTATAATCTCTTCACTTTATAGGCTCTTTATGAAGTCTTGGAGAAACTCAGTCTGTTATTTCCCCATTCAGGTGGAGGTCTTATGGTGTCAAGTTTTCCTTGAGAAGGCTCTTTTCTGTTTGTTTTCTATTATTCTTCCAGAGTCGTGTTTGTTATGCTTTGGCTCTGAACCCATGGCCAAGCCAATCTAACTTCTGTCTTTTTAGTACTATTATTCCAGTCTAATGGTATTGAATTATTTCAGTTACTTTTTGAAGTTATTAGTCTGTAGAACGTGTGATGTCTGAGGTAGAATTCTTCTGAGACATCTGAATTGAAAGACTTGAGTTCTTCATTCTGTTCTATTAGAGGCCAAGGTTCACATTCATAAAGTGCTCTTGGGAACATAATCATTTGACAAAGTTTATCATAGATAGCTTTGAAATACTACTATTGCCTTTCCAGATTCTACTGGGTTTTGCCAGTACTTTTGTCATTAGGACAATTCTATGTTTGATTTCTAATTTAGATTTCCTGTCTTTTACGATAGCTCTGAGGTACCTAGTTGACTCCATTTGTTTTTGTTTCATCACTTTCCTGTAAATTTCTTGTTGTGTGTGTCTCCATGAGATGCATAATGCTCAGTAACCTAATCACACTACTCAGTAGTGTGCCAGGCAAAACCCATGCTAATATGCTACTGCACAGTAGTGTTAGCCTATTGTGCAATGAACTTCACATAAAAAAATGTGCTGGTGTTACTGTGCAGTAACTGTAGTTACTGTGCATTTAGTTAGTACTTCATTAAGCAAGTACTAAACTAAATATGCACCAACTACTGTGCATTAATAAACATGTAGACATGCCCATTGAGTATCAGAGTTTCCCATACTAATTGCACTGTTTTTTCTGCACTGAACTAAATGCCATAGGCAGTTGCAGAATTGTTGTTGATCAACTAGTTCTGGTCCTGTTCTTCCAATCAAATCAATATAATTTGCAAAATGGAGCTTACAGATCTTCCTCCCTCAGTTGGACAGAGGAAGATTTGAGGATGGAAAATGTTTTCAAAGTTTCAGAGGGCTCTGAAATATGTTCAAGGAAAAGAGTGAAAAGACATGAGAATAGGAGAGTCCTTACCTTATCCAAACTATTTGCTTCACAACACTATCTTACCTGTGAAATTTGCACTTTCTGCATTGTTACAGAGGACTTCGTATTATTATTCAGTGGTCCTTATTCAGTGGTGGGTTTTTTCCTACGTTCTGCTTCTTCATCAGATCCCATAATGATCTTTACTGTAAACAATCAAATGTTTTATGGAAGTCTATGAAATTGAGAATTTTAATGCTCTGTGCATCTTACTTGAAAGACTCTATAGGTCAGAGGATGCTGCCACTAGTTAGCTGACAACTTTAGCTTGGAGTTTCTTGTTCTAGCTTGCCTTGTACTTAATTTTTATAGTTATCACAACAAGACCGTGAACACTCCCAATGTTTTATATGAATGTTGATACTAGAAAGACAACATCCTAACACCAAATAATTGTCTATCTGGGTTTTCTTCATTAGGAGTGTGCCAGATACTTCTCCTACATGATTAATGTGGTTATAAAGTACTGTCAAGGATGAAATTGTTGTATCTGTCAAACTGTCCTGAGGGCGGCTGTTCTCAGACAGAAACTTTAAAAAAAAAAATGGAATGGGAAAATGCAGAACAAGAAATCTTCCACAGATTGGATTGTTTTATATATAGTTTAAACAAGGACTATGAATTTTTATCCAGTGGATTAGCTTTCGTGAGTCCTTGTTTCTATGGGTTACTGATTGTTTTCTTGTTTCTCCTAGCATTTTTCCCCTCTCCCTTCTCCCTCCCCACTCTCGCCCCCTTGTCTTTTGTATTCTAATATCTCTGTCCATCTTATACTCATTCTACACATCCTTCCATAGCATGTGATGAAGTGAGCTTCAGTTTACAGCAGCCTGTGGTGTGTATATGGGTGTGTGTATATATCTATACACACCATTTAAAGATAGATAGATAGATAGATAGATAGATAGATTGCAGCCTTTCCAGTGGGCAATTTATTCTTGCGATGTCCATCTCCTCTCTTGGTAGCCAGAGGGGAAGTCTTATACTTCCATCTAAAAAGTGCTCAGCAGTCTCCAAGCGCTTAATCTAACACATCAAACCTTTTAATGGTCTTTCATTAAATCTTCAAAAGGCCAACATCTTAAAGTCTGATATTATGAAGACATTTTTATCTTTGCTTTATTTTATGAGTATTATCTAAATTTCTTTGTTTGAAACTGGCCTTTAAAATGACTATTAGAATATACCACAAATTTTAACTTCTCACAAGGAAGAAAAATATAACCATTAAAATGCGACAGTGACTTTAGACCAATACAAATCTTTTGGAGACAGAGTTTTATGCTACAAGACACAGATGAACCAGTCACCAAAGTACAGATATTACATCTTGGAAAATCCCACACATAAAACTAACAAACAAATTCTAGTTGACACGGCAAATAAGATTGTCACAGGCCTGTCTGTAGGGAGCCCCAAAAGCCCCAAGTTTCTCCCAGCTGTTCTGCCACTTGTCCCAAGGAACAAGGTTGCTCTGAGATAGCTCTCTGTCCCATCAAGCCTCAGTTTCACTACTCTTAAACTGAACCCTGAAGATACAGTGAAGGATTATCTGCTAGCCCCAGGTGGGTACCCTATTTGTAGGTTGAGAAGAAATTATAGGCCCCCCTTTCCACGTAAGGGGTAGCCTGAAATGAAGATGATATCAAATTTCTCTGGATAGTTGAATTCCAAGCTGATGGAGAGATGCTGCAGAAAGATCTCACCGACCTAAGTGAGTGGTCAAAAATGGCAGATGACCTTCATTGTTGACAAATGAAAGGAATGTACCAGGGGGAAAATAATCCCAACTAGATGTACACAATGAAGGGTTCTGAACTAGCTTTTATGACTCAGGAAAGAGACCTTGGAGTCACTGTAGATTAGAAATGAGTAGAATCATAAAAATCATAGAAATGAGTGAGAGAGATTTAAAACTAACCAGATAAATTACTTTTTTATGCCACACATAGTTAACTTGTGGAATTCATTGCCACAGGAAGTGGTAGATAGTAGTGGAGACAGATAGCATACCCAGGTTTAAAAAGGGACTAGACAAATTCCTGGATGATGGATCTATTAATGGTTGTTGAGCAGAATGGTTAGAGATGCTTCCTCAGGCATGTTTAAACCAATGAGGGTACATGCCAGGGGTGGTTATAAGTATGGGATAAATCACTTTAGATGTATCTGGTTCAATGTTTGCCATCTATAGCATCCACTTCTGTCACTGTCATAGCTTACCAGGCTAGATAGACCATTGGTCTGATCCAATGTGATACTTATTGTGCTTATGGAACATCACT